ATTTCAAAGCCTGGGTGACATTTGTTTAAGTAGCATCATGGAGGCCAATTTCTAAATTCCTTTATTATGGATTTGACATTTAGAAATTATCACAAATTATGTAGAATCAAAAATGTTAGATAAAATGGATGACTATAAAGAACTGATTTTCCCAAGAAGACCCAATTGTTTTTGAAAATAAAATAAAATAAAATGACCTCTTTAAAAATCTTCACAACTTAAATTCCTGTTTCCCAAGGACAAAAAAAAGACAACAACTGAGGCATTTGTTCTTCTCATATCTTTCATAGTTGTTTACAGGCTTTCGATCTTAAAATTGAATGTCAATAAATATTTTATCTTAAATTACTCTCCCAAAACAGAGGGCTAATTCTCCAATTCTACTTCTAAAAAATATTGAGGACCTAGTGTGAACCAAGAAGCTTTTTATATATGTCATGGCTTCATTGCTATAGCAATGTCATTGGCAACTTCTTTTAGGTCACTAATAATTTAACTAGCATAGTGACTGGTACACAGGTGCACAACAACCAACTCCCGTTGTAATGCTTCTTCCTTAAGGAGACCTCAAGTTGAAAACTAATAAAAAAATATAGGAGTAAAAGGAGGAGGAAGAGGAGGAGGAGAAGAAGGGAAAGAGAGGAAGGGAGTAATTTTTATATATTTAGGGAATACAAGTACAGATTGCTTACATGCATATATTGTGTAGTGGTGAAATCTGGGCTTTTAGTGTACCCATCACCTGAATACTGTACATTGTACCTAACCGGTAATTTTTCAATCCTCACCTCCCTCCCACCCTCCCACCTTTTGGAAGTAGCAAGGGAGGTAGAAAGCCAGACAGTGGATCTGTATTTACTAACAGAAAAGGATGCCTATGATACTTTTTAGAGAAAAAAATAAAAAGTGACAGAATAATAAAGTAAAATATGATATTGCTCTTGTAAAAGAATACAAACACACATGGCCATGCACACAAACATATAATATATGTCTGGAAGAATATACATTAAATTGTTAACAATATTTTCCCTAGAAAATGGATTGGGACTATAGGAAAAGAATAAACTTTCCCTTTTTATTAAATGCTTTGTACATTTCCTTTTATAAATTTTATTTTTATATATTTAGGGAGTACATGTGCAGATTTCTTATATGCATATATTGTGTAGTGGTGAAATCTGAGCTTTTAGTACACCCATCACCTGAATAGTGTACACTGTACCCAATGGGTAATTTTTCAATCTTCACCTTCCTCCCATCCTCCCACCTTTTGGAGTCTCCAATCTATTATTCCACTCTATATGCCCATATTGTACATTTCTTAATGCTTCAATTTTTGATGTCTATAATAAGAATGTATTAATTTTATACTTTATTTAATTAAAAAGAGGAACTTCAAATTAAAAGGAAGCAATTTATAACTGCTGACACAAACTTGTCCAGAAAAGGATCTAAAAAAAGATTATAAAAAGGAAGCAATTTATAACTGCTGACACAAACTTGTCCAGAAAAGGATAAAAAAAAAAAAAGATGACTACAATAGCAACTCCCTTCACCCACCAAAAGCACCCCTCTGTCTGCCATCACTGTAAATGCCTATAGGCATCTGAATCCATAGTCAAAGTTTGTGTAAGTCATGATGGAAGCCAGGGAGATCAGAATAGGACTTTGAATTTTACAGGCTCACTTGGCAACTACAATGCTAGTGACCCCATGGGCTGCAGAACTTATTTTTTTAGAACTGCTTTATTGAGGCAAAATTGATACATAATAAACTATACATTTCATAACATAAACTACACATGAATCAAAACTATATATTTTGATAAATTTTGACACATGTATACATACCTATGAAACTATCAGTACAATCAAGGTAGCCAAAATATCCATTGTCCCTCCACATTTCCTGATGACCCTTTGTAATCCTTTCTCTACCCTCAGTAATCACTGTTCTAGCTGGAAAATGTTTTGTCTTGAGACAGGGCCTTAAGTCACCCAGGCTAGAGTGTAGTGGTACAATCAAGGCTCACTGCAGCTTCAACTTCCTGGGCTTAAGCTATCCTCCCACCTCAGCCTCCTGGGTAGCTGGGACTACAGGAATGTGCCAATATGCCCAGCTAATTTTTTATTTTGGTAGCGACGGGTCTCCCTATGTTGCTGAGGCTGGTCTCAAACTCCTGGGTTCAAGCAATCCTCTCATTTCTCTTACCTCAAGCTCCCAAAGTGCTGGGATTACAGGTGTGTGCCACCACTCCTGGCTTAGCCGCAGAGTATTTAACTCATAAATGATAATTTATAACACAACAAAAGCAGATTTTTTGGAAAAAACCAGGCCAGGCCTGGTGGCTCACACCTGTAATCCCAGCACTTTGGGAGGCTGAGGCAGACAGATCACCTGAGGTCAGGAGTTCAAGACCAGCCTAGCCAACATGGTGAAACCCCATCTCTACTAAAAATACAAAAATAAGCCAGGCATGATGGCGGGCGCCTGTAATCCCAGCTACTCCAGAGGCTGAGGCAGGAGAATCACTTGAACTCAGGAGGCAGAGGAGGTTGCAGTGAGCCAAGATCGTGTCACTGCACTCTGGCCTGGGCGACAGAGTGAGACTCCGTCTCAAAAAAAAAATAAGTTTGTGGTTTTCTCCCCCACACAATCTTTGTTTTTAACCCTGTTTAAGCCAATTAAACATTCAAAAATATAATCTATGCATAGTTATTATACTATATAGTTACTATATGCATATTTATATATTCATCAAAATATGCATACCAAAATGGGTATAGTATAATATCTATAGTATAACCAAAATGGGTGGCATCACTAAGATCAAGTTATTAGGCTATGACTTAAAACTTATTATTATTATTATTTTTTTTTTTGAGATGGAGTCTCCCTCTGTCACCCAGGCTAGAGTGCAGTGGCCCAATCTTGGCTCACTGCAACCTCTACCTCCCAGGTTCAAGAAATTCTCCTATCTCAGCCTCCTGAGCAGCTGGGATTACAGGTGCCTGCCATCATGCCCAGCTAATTTTTGCCTTTTTAGTGGAGACTACCATTGACCAGGCTGGTCTCGAACTCCTGACCTCAGGTAATCCGCCTGCCTTGGCCTCTTAAAGTGCTGGGATTACAGGCGTGAGCCACTGCGCCCAGCCAAAACTGATTCTTTAGAACAACCTAATTTGTCTCTAATTTCCCTTTTAATAAGCCTGTGCTTCAATTGACAGTAATGGTCAATTGAATTGACAGAATTCATTAATATTCCCATCATTTTCACCACTCACTATTATATGCATAGATTAATTTATTAAACAAAGTTTTAGGAGCCTAGATAAACTAAGCCTTGATGGCATGAAATGCCATAGTCATGACCTTTACAAATTATCAAAAAGTCAAATTTTAATAAATATTTTTACTATTCCCATATTCTATTGTGTTCCACCATGACCTCCCCAAACCTCCTCACCCACATATACACATTTTTCTTTTAGCCTTATGATTAAAAGCAAGACTACTGAGATGGCTTATTCTTTAATATCTCTGCATAGGCAAATGGGAGCTCCTCTAACCTTAAAAATTATAGTTATTTAATAATGTTTACACAGTGTGCATTCTAGCAGTAGCTTGTGTACATAGCTTTACTAAAACATTTCACTCAACATGTTCCCAGTGCCAAAACATTTATAGAAGATTCTCAAAGAACATGGTCACCTCATCTTCCTTGCCTCTATCTCTCACAGCAAAGCTGATTGAATAACAGTAGGATAAGGGAATAGAGAAAAGGAAACAGACTGGAGATGTTCTCACAAGCCTAAAATGTTTGTTTTAACTAGCTGTGAAACCTCAATAAATTCTGCACAGTCTGCATCCTAAGACACTCCAATATCCTCCCATTTCAGGAAATACTTGAGAGATTCACCTAATACATCTCAGGATTTTTAGATCAGAAATATAACTTGAAACTTTAAAAGCACTTGAGTCATCAGCAAAGTATCCACCTATTCATTCTCTCGTTTGTTCTCTCATAAATATTTGCTGTCACAGTGTGAGAAAGGCCATTTGAATGAGGTACTTTTAAAAAAACAGTTGAAAAAATAGGACCACCTATGCAATCAATATCCTCTTTCAAAGTAGCTTTTTGCTGCCTTTCCTTTTTCCCCAGGCTTTTGAACCTTAGTCATTTTGAAAACATTCAAGATGTATACAATTATACAATATATTAGGGAAGTAGTAGGGAAGCCAGAATTTATTTGGGTCAAATTAATCTAGCCAATTTTCAATTATCTGGCTACTACAGAATCCCAGTAAGTCTTGACCAAATAAAAATATTCCATGGTTCTTCAGTCAAGAGGCCATGCATGGATGTTCAAGTATTCTGACACGTCATTAGCCCAAACAACATTTTTAAAACTGAGGCTGACCATATGCTCTAATCTTGAGTAACTTAAAAATCATATCATTAAAATGAGTAGCACTCAGTTTTGCAATAATAAGAATATAGCCAATATACGACCTGACAAATGACCAAATTCCCAAATTAAAATGGTCTGGGCTTATGGGGGCACTGGAGGCTTTCTGGACAGAATGGAAGGGACTTTCGGAGATCCATAGCCATTCGGCAATGATAAATTTGCAAATATTAGAGTGCTACTGAAAGAGAATCTTTTCTCCCACCATTCAAAGAAAATCGGCTCTAAGGTAGAGTTTAGTATGTGGGATTTTGATCCTGAAATGAAGAAAGCTAGATTCATATTAACTTATCTCTGAGCAACCTAATTTCCTGTTTTCTTTTCCTCATGTTAAAAGATCATCCTAAAGTTTCCTTTATGTGAGGTTTGTGAAAGCAAAGTGTTCTGAGTGTTTCTGAGGCTGATAGAAAATAAATTAGTCCAAAGAAAAGTCTTGTGTTGGCCTTTCTGTGCAAATGTATTCTCATAACTAACTCTAAGCTAGTGTGTATAGGAGTCATTCCAAGATAACAAGGGAAGAGCTTTTTTTAAAAATCTGCACAGAGCAGTCAGTAGACCTATCTGACCAGTATTTTGGTCTTTTGCCCCTTTTTCACCAGGAACATTTTTGTTGAAGAACACTTCTCTCCAGACACCTCCACCAGGAATACTGCTTTATATCTTGGATTAATAAACAATTCTATTGAAGAAGACTCACTGCTTTCTCTTCTCATGAAAAAAAAAAAAGCTATCAGGGAATTAAAGGAATGTGGCTGAGTATCTTCCATACTTTTGCCTCAATCACTGAATAATCAGAGTATTATTTGTGGGAAATGCATATCATGAAGTTGCCAGTGTTTTGCTTCTCAGTTATATTTCCACAATCTGAAAATTACCAGCAAAATTCCTGCCCACCAGTCGCCACCTACAGGTCAAAAGCAACCTTCACACAGGCCCCTGCTCTGCACTACTAAAGTTTTTGAGAGCAACAGTATTTCCCAACCTTTTTAAAATCCCAAGGTAAACCTATTTCAATACAAGTTCTACAGAATAGGATATTACCCAATATCTCGTGCTGAAAATGTGATCAAGGGAAGAAAGATTGGAGAAGCCACAATTCACTTCTTCACAGTTGACCAAAACGAAGTTATGGCATCCTAACCAGGGAACACTGCCAGAGAGAAACAGGTACAAAGTCAAAAGTGGATGAAATCATTTTAAAAAATAAGACAACTGTGTATTAACAATATTCAGCATGAACGGCGTGTAAGATTTACACCATTGTACTTATATGCCATCATGATCTGATTTTTGCACCTGTTTTATTAACAATTCCAGATATTGATATGGTCAACACAATTAATCATTTTTAATGTCTATAAAGAGTTTCTCTAGAAATTCTGTACAATTACAATGTGCCAGTATAAATTAAAGATTGTTAAAAAGAAATTCTATATAGAAAAAAATTCTATAGAAACTCTATGGAGACTTACTATATATTTAGTTGGATATTCTCCCTCCATGGGGATTTGTGTCTTCAGTTATTTTTGAAAGAGCATAACTCTTTCCAAAAGAGTACTACCACTACTCTATACTACTATTATGAGAATGAGTGCTACCATGGAAATCTTTGTATAATTTTTTTTTAAAACAGAGTCTCACTCTGTAGCACAGGCTGGAGTGTAGGAGTGCAATCTCGGCTCACTGCAGCCTCTGCCTCCCGGGTTCAAGTGATTCTCCTGCCTCAGTCTCACGAGTAGCTGGAATTACAGACCTATGCCTACATGCTTGGGTAATTTTTTTTTTTTTTTTTTTTTTTTTTTTTTTTTGTGGAGACGGGGTTTCACCATGTTGGCCAGGCTTGTCTAGAACTCCTGACCTCAAGTGATCCACCCACCTTGGCCTCCCAACATGCTGGGATTACAAGTGTGAACCACCATTCCAGATCTTATGTAAATATTTTTTAAAGTCAATTTAAGGCCAGCCGTGGTGGCTCACACCTGTAATCCCAGCACTTTGGGAGGCAGAGGCGGGTGGATCACAAGGAGGTCAGGAGTTCGAGACCAGACTGGCCAGGTTGGGGAAATCCTGTCTACACACACACACACACACACACACACACACACACACACAATACAAAAATTAGCCAGGCATGGTGGTGCACACCTGTAATCCCAGCTACTCACGAGGCTGAGGTAGGAAACTGTTTGAACCCAGGAGGTGGAGGTTGCAGTGAGCCGAAGTGGTGCCACTGCACTCCAGCCTGGACAACAGAGCGAGACTCTGTCTCAAAAAAATTTTTTTTTAAATAGAAAAAATAAAAGCCAATGTATTAGTCCATCAGCAGCATTAACATACTTGATTCCCTTGCAGTCCTGATCACATTGGATCATTATCATTTTTATTTCTGCTACCTCTATTAGTATTAAATAACAACTTAAAGCAATTTTACTTTGCATTTAGTTTTATGTAGGCTGAAGTTCCAGCCAATCTTTATATTGATATTGAACTGCCTATTCAATGTCTCCAGTTGAATGTATCATTGGCATCTCAATTGAACAAGTGCATCAGAGCCCTTAATTTGCATCTCCTAAACTTGTCCTCCACCTCACACTTGCTCCCTTGACCCCAGTGATTCCCAGCTCCCTAAATAGAGCCACCCTGCACCTAGGTGCTTAGGCTCAAAACCTAGGAGTTAATCCTTCCAAAAGTCTTTTTGATTCTACCTTTACCACAAATCTCCATCTTCACTGCTACCCCCCAGGTCCAGGCCACTGTCATCTCTCACCTGGACTGCTGCAACAGTCTCCTAACTGGTCCCTTTTCTTCCATCCTTTCCCTTACAGAGTCTACACAACACCCAATGCCATATTTTTAAAAACCTAAATCAGATCACATCACTCCTCTGTTCGAAACCCTCCAGCAGCATCCCATCATGCTTCGAATGAAATCCAAACTACTTACCTTCAAAACATGTCCCCTGCCCACCTCTTTCAACTCAATTTTGTACCCTTCTCCCCTATTGCCCTTGTTCTCTCCATCCCAGCACCCCTGGCCTTTTTACTATCCCTCAAATGCATCAGGTTCACTCCTGAGGCCTTTGCTCTTGTGGTTCTCTCTGCCTGAAGGGCTCTCCCCCAAGATTTTCTCATGGCTGGCTCCTTCTCTTTGCTCTGACTTGAATGTCACCTCCTCAGAGAAGCGTGCCCTGAACACTCTCTGAAGTAGCACAGTTTCCACCCCTGTAACTTGGTAGCCTATCACCCCATTTTATTTTCACTGTAACACAGAAACTATCCTATCATCTTGTGTCATTGTTAACCTTTTTAAAAAAAATCTGCATCTTTCTGGTTCACCATTATACCTTCAGAGCCTAGAACAGTGCCTAATACATAGCAGGAACTTAATAATGCTAAATCTTACGTAAAACAGAGACTTTGCTCAATAACTACATTTAAAAGATGTTACTTCCATACTTAAAATACTAATAACAGGACCTAAAGACCCATAGTGAAATGATAATGCAGACTTGCTTTTCTTTCGGACGCCTAGACCTATTAACATTAATCAGTGAACATTGAGATTAATTTAGGTGTACTTACCAAGCACCTTTAAGACACTTTGGAGGCTACAGTGAAGATTCACCCTCAAACAACTGAGTCTAGAAAGAGAAGAAAGAGAAAGAAATTGAGACAATTAACTGGAATCTAAGGAAAAAAATGGTGAATGTCAGGAGAGACTTTTGGTATTCTGGGCTACAGACAAGCAATAATGGTTTTAACATTCCTTCTCATGAAATGAGTGCTAAAATTCCTGAGAATAGGCTCCAGTCATGTTTAAGTGTATCAGTGTTGCTCCCTTCAAGGGTGTTGGGACATGCATAAAAATGGTTGTAGCTGTCACAATCACTAGCATAGGGAGGATACCACTGCCATTTGGTAAGCAGCGGCCAGCCATGCTAACTGCCCTGCAGTTCTTAAACAGACCTGCACGACAAAGAACTCCCTGCCTCAAATGCCAACACAGAGTGGCTTATATCTGCCCATCTAAAACATATGGAGTGCTTTCCAAGACTCCAGATTTTTTTGATTTTTTTTTTTTTTTTTTGAGACAGAGTCTCGCTCTGTTGCCCAGGCTGGAGTACAGTGGTACGATCTCGGCTCACTGCAACCTCCGCCTCCCAGGTTCAAGTGATTCTCCTGCCTCAGCCTCGTGAGTGGCTGGGATTACAGGTGTGCATCACCACGCCCAGCTAATTTTTTGTATTTTTAGTAGAGATGGCGTTTCACCATGTTGGTCAGGCTGGTCTTGAACTCCTGACCTCGTGATCTGCCCACCTCAGCCTCCAAAAGTGCTGGGATTACAGGCGTGAGCCACTGCGCCCAGCTCAGATTAATATTTTTAACATGCTATCTTTTAGGTAGTCACTTCTGAGTTGTTTTCATTTTCCCCGACTTTTTAAAATCATTTTGACCCAGATCCTATACAAATCAACTATTCAGCAAATAGAATACCTGACTGCAAGTAAAGGATGAAGAACAGCGAGGCCCACCAGAATGTCTCTTTGGGGCCCTAGCAGAGCAGACTTTCAGCCCCAGGCCCAAGGAAAGCTACCATCTATGGATCATGTTCCACAATGAGCTCCGCAGCATTCCTATGTGTTAAGATTATTCCCCCTTCGCAGAGACAGTTCCACTGCATGTCTGACAATTTCCTAATTACACAATAAGACAAGAAGCTAATCCTGAATGTGAAACTTTACAGGTGGGGGCTTGTTTCCCTTGAGCAGGGGCCTAGGGCCTACAGGATCAGGTAGGTCCTGGGCACGGGGGCCAGGGACTGGGTAGGACCGTGGGAAAACAGAGCACCCCGCCCCCTGCTAAAGAAGTCAGTTCTGCACAGCTTTGCCCTCTGCAGGTGAAATGCAGACCAGGCCCTCCAGCATTTCAAGATAAGCTGGAAATCCTGATTTTTATTGAGCTCTTTTGCTTTTTCAATATCGACCACTAATTCAATTGCTTTTTCAAATCCTATGCAGGCTGCAGCACACCCACCTAGGGCTGAGTTTGACCCAGGGCCCCTAGCACGCTCCTTCTGCATCATGAACCCAGGAGTCTATTTGGTTGCATGTGTCTGCTACTCACTAGGGGTTCAGGAAATTCAAAAACAACAGCTAAATGTGCTATTATTGGGGAAGGTTCTCAAGAAAGGATGAGAGAGGCACATGCTGGTCACACCAGGTGACTCATACTGCCTTTATCATGCTCTTCCTTGCTCAAAAATTCTCAACATACCCCATTTCTTACTGCTTCAGATCAGTTTCCCTTCAAGGCTCTCCAAAACATGACCCTACCCTACTTTGCCAGCCCTATTTTCATCACACCCCTGTGTCCATCCCCCATTCCAGTTGGGCCAGTCTTCCTTGAGTTCCTTTAAAGATGTTGATGCCCTAATCCAAATATTTCCTCTCCTCATCTAAAGCCTACTCACCCTTCAAAACCTTGCTCCATTTCACCTCTTTTATGCAACATTCTCTGAGACAGTAAAAACCAAAATTCTTTTGAGTTCAAGGTCTGGTGTCAAGCAGATCTGGGTTCAAATCCTGCCTCTGCCACGGACTAGCTTGGCAAGATCCTTGGGCATGCTACCTAACCGCTTTGAGCTTCAGAAGATGAAAATAGTGCCTATCTTACAGGTGGGATTAAATAAAATGATGTGCCTAGGCGCAGTGGCTCACCCCTGTAATCCCAGCAGTTTAGAAGGCTGAGGCAGGTGGATCATTTGAGGTCAGGAATTCGAGACCACCCTAGCCAACATGGTGAAACTCCGTCTCTACCAAAAATACAAAAAGTAGCTGGCTCTTGTGACGTGTACCTGTAATCCCAGCTACTCAGGAGGCTGAGGCAGGAGGATCACTTGAACCTGGGAGACGGAAGCTGCAGTGAGCCAAGATCGTGCCACTGCACTCCAGCCTGGGCAACAAGAGCAAAACTCCGTCTCTAAAATAAAATAAATGGGCACAGGGGCTCACGCCTGTAATCGCAACACTTTGGGAGGCTGAGGCGGGAGGATCACTTGAGGTTAGGAGTTGGAGACCACCCTGGTCAACATGGTGAAACTCTGCCTCTACCAAAAATACAAAAATTATCCAGGTATAGTGGCGTGCACCTGCAATCCCAGCTACTCAGAAGGCTGAGGCAGGAGAATCACTTGAACCTGGGAGACAGAGGCTGCAGTGGGCTGAGACTGTGACACTGCACTCCAGCCTGGGCAACAAGAGTAAAACTCCATCTCAAAGAAAATAAATAAATAAAAATAAATAATAAAATAAAATAAAATGATGAAAGTAAAGTACTTAACTTCCAGTAAGTGTTCAGTAAATGCTCATTATTATGACTACTCAATTTTCACTGACCTTCCTCCTCTTCTGGAAGTGTTCCAGCCCTTAGGCTGTCTCTTCGGAACAAAGGGCTGCTGGATTCCAGGATGTCCACATTTGCTCTGACTGTGCCCCAGGCATTAGCCCGCCTCAGCCCACAGCTTGGTTTTATAGCTTCTTAAAGTACTAGGAGCATGTTGGATATAACATAGAACCCACGGACCCAAGTGTACACTGAATCAGAGAGTTGGACAACTACCAGTGCCCTGGCTCAGAAATAACTCAGCAAAAGTCTGTCTCTAGCAAAGGCAGGAATGCATGCTGGGAAGATAAACCTGTAGCCAGTCTCAGTGGCAGAGAGCTGCTTCACTGTTTAAAATATAAGTCTCTCTCACACACACACGCATCACCACCACCACCACCATTATCACCTCCATGTTCTCTAACCTCTATACCTCACCTTTCTTACTGAGGGTGGAGATGACACATAAAGCCAGCAAAGGCCACTCTCTTCATGTGAACGCATGATGGGAACTTGGACAAACAGCCCGCACTGCAGGTATAATCTTTGACTGGGACTAAATGGAAAGCCACTACAGAAGCCAACATGGACTCTGCAGGCCATGTCCCCCTCCCACCTAGTGTTACTCCACCTCAAATCAGCCCTATCCATCCTAATGCGTGTGGCAGTGGGGATCCTCTGGGCGCCTTTGCCAGCAGGCGTATTCCACTAGTCACTTTCCTCCGTATTCCACAAGGTTGAAGCAAAAAATGCCTTCATGGAAGTTACCCCATGCTTCAGGTTACTACATGCTTTGAAGGCCTCCCCTGGCCTCTCTCCCCTCCCCCCAAAAAAAACGAGCACAGAAAAATGTGAGTGCTGGAATGTCACATGCTTCAGAAGGCAAACAAACAACCAGAATTTGAGAGAGTTACGGGGCAACTCGGGTCTCTTGTGAAGCCCCTCCCCAACATATTTTTCCAAAGAACGATTTTCTCAGCATGAAGAGTGAGGCATACCAATTGCACTCCACAAGTTTACACTGTCAAAAGCCTGAGATTCCAAAGTTAGATCAGAGGTAGGCAGGAAAACGGGGCAAAATGGGTATGACGTTTGAGATCACGTTCTCAGTCTAGAAAAGACACCAAGAACAGGCCCAAGGGGTAACCAGTTTCCCATGCTGACACCCAGCGTTCCAATACACGTTGATTACCCCTCAGCAGCAATAAAAGTTCTCCCTCCTGTAATGGTCGACTTTAAATAAAAACACGAAAAGCAAGAGACCAAAAGGCGGCACGGGTCCCAAGGACCACGACTAAGATGTCCTCGAGTGCGGGTATGGCAGGCATGTCCGACAGCATGGGCCTCCCCAACTGTATTCTTTCCTCACGTCTCTGCCCACCAACCCAACAGGACGTCGCATCCCGACAGCCTTGTGGATGAGCAGATCACAGTCAGATTCAAACCGTCTTCATCCACCCGCGCTGGAAACCTCAAGCTGAGACTCAGTCTCTTGAGAAGTTCCTAAAGCCAAGGACGAGGGTCATCAAGGGGGCGGCGGCGGCAGAGCCCTGCTAATGACGGGCCCTTGGCAGGTGAGGGCACCTTCAGTTAACATTGGCGGGATGTCACTGCCAACGTGCCCCTGAGGAATGCCTCGACCTTGGCGGGAACAGCGGCCTGGTGTGCCCCCTGAGGAAGCGCAGCGGGGTCTGAGGTGAGAGCAGGGTGGGCCTGGCAGAGCGTAGGCGTTACTCTGGAAAACGCGACTCTGCGGGGACAAGCGGGCCAACTCAGGGCTCTGGGGCAGCCCCTCCCCAGTCCCCACCGAGGGCTCAGGGTGTCTCTGTCCGAGAGGCACCCACTGCTCGGGCAGGCCCGGGCGGCCAGCTGGCCGCGACCTAGCGGAACGTGGCTACCTTCTCTGAGGACCGAGTGGAGGGCATTTACCGGGGACCGTTTCCTCAGGAACCGTTACGTCTCTACTCTGGGATCCACTGAGATAACCGGACCGCTGCCGCCGCCGCTGCCGCCGACCCCGACGCCGCCGTCTTCGCCTCCCTCCAGCCGCCTCAGTCGTAACCGTCAACAGTCCACGTCGCCCCGTGCGACTGTCGCTCGCGAGGCCAGCTGTAGAATGGCTCGCGTCGAACTCCCTGCGCGCAGAAGCGTCCTCGCCGTATCTAAGCGAACCACGTAGGCGCACGACCCCGTGCCAACGCCCCGCGAGGCCCTCGACCCCCTGGGGCGAGCTCGCCTCAGCGGCGTACCGGCTCGTGACTACGGCTTCTCCTGCCCGCGCGCGGGCTGCGCTCTATGGGCTCCGCCGCGCTCGCAGCCCGCCCTCACCTTGCAGGCTGGACCAATGATGGACTCGTCCCACCCCGTGATTTCCCCAGGGCCAACCACCTTCTGGGGAAGCCCTTCAAGTAACCCCACCCCCTCATGCTGCAAAGGCCAAGCCAGAGTTTATCCCAATGCGCCTCTGCTCCCGAAGATTTCGAGGCTTTGCGCGGGCTGCCCACCCCCAGGCCCCACGAAGTTAGTGCTTTAGGGGCTGAAACTCAGCTGGCTTACCAACCCCCACCCGACCTATTTCCTTCGAATAAACAAGTATATAACTAACGAGGGAGGTGATATTGTTCACCTCATCCATTAAGTGGGATTCCTGAGAAGTGGCCACCCGTTTGGCCAAATTTACACATCACAGAGTGAGCAAGAACCACAAAGGCCATCGACTGACTATCCCCTCCCTGTTTTTTCCATTTCTGGGGCCTGCTCTCGGAGGCTCCACGGACTCACTGGCTCCACGGACCACCCCATTCGGGTCTCCGACCTCCTGGCTTGAGGGTGAGTGAAAACGGTCCTCTGGTCACTTCTGCCCCTTTGAGAACATGCAAAGCCAGCCTTGTCTCTCCTGCCCATGGTGGTCCAACAATTTGAACACAATTCCAGACACGTTCCTCCAGGCTCTTTTGCTCTAAAGACCTGGATTCAAGGCTCTTTTCTGAATTTAATTCCTTTATATCTCTTGAAAGTGAAAGGCAGGAACTGAGTCTGTCCTTTACACCTCACCCCACCCCACCCTACTCCTGAGTATAGACCCTTCTGCACAGAGGAGACCAGGATGGACACGTCTCTTGTATAGACGTTTGGCTTCTCTGGTGGAGCTCCTTCAGGTAGCATTCACTTTCTTGACTTCCATAAAACAAGGCCCATTCTATAGAATATAGTTTTAATATATAATTAAAACTACAAAATATAGCTTAATGTGGTTATAATATTTTGAGTTATTCTTTAAAATAAAATCAAATATAACAATATTTTGTATCATTTAATCTCTTATATTCCATCCAATATAAAACAAATCTCTATACATTGAGACAGTATACATAATCATTTCAGTTAAATTGACCTGAAAAATTAATAGCTATTCCTTATTGTGTTAGGCACCATGAAAATGGTTTTACATATACAAACTGTATAAAGGTATTTAGTACTAACTAAAAAAAACTATGACAGAAATTCCATTTTGGTCCCCATTTTTTAAATGAGGGAACTGAGGCATAGAAAGTTTAAGCTACATGCCTAACATGAGCAACTAAGAAACAAGAGCTGAGATTCGAACCTGAGCAATTTAGTTTCTAGATGCTATGCAGCTAATCATTACGTTAATTTGTATTTTAGGCTATCCAGTGCTCCAAATGGGATATATTAAAGTAATAACAAAGGAAAAAATGCTTCACTTATCATCTAAAGCTTGTTGTTGTTGTTGAATCTTAATAATTTTGTGCCTTAATTACTTTAGTGAAATATTTTCTTGTCTAATGCTATTGGTAAAAAGTAAAACGGAATTCAGCTTATCAATAAGTTACATTTCTGTTAGTATATTTCCAGAGCTTTTGTTTCAAACAATATACATGAAGATGTATATCATTTATTTCATTTTTGGGCATAAGCAACAACAATGAAAAATAAAAACAAAAATAGAAATAACACCAACAAAACTGACTTGAAAACCTATTACTACCAATGTCTGGGGAAAAAAAATCATGGTTCAAAATCTATTTATTCCCACTTATTAGGTTTGTAACACAGCTTGGGCAAGTGACTTCATTTTCTGGGCCACTATTTTCTCATTTGCGAAATGAGAATAATCCTTTGCAATGTTATTTTGAGCGTTGGTATTTGGAACACCTAACCCAGAGACTGGCACATTGTGAGCATTTAATAAATGTCAGTGACATTATTCTTCAATTTCATCTTTTAATCAACAGCCTTTCCTAAAGTGAGACAAAACCCTTGAATTTACCAGTTACACAAAGAGATTATCAGAAAAATTAGTCTATATTTTTAAGATTTACACAAAATATTTAGCAACAACTACACTGTTATGCTATCATTTGATATGTATTTTCAAAATACAATGTCACTCTAAGTGATGTAATCAGCAAACAGAACAGAGAGAAATCTAAAAAGAATTCTAATCCTAGTTGTTACTCTTATAATAATTCTTTATTACTTAAATTATATTTAGAAAAGCCTTACCAAAACCAAAATTCGATAAACATCTACATTTTCATGTAAGTTAAATACATCATAAGTGTAAGACACCATTAAAATTTAGAAAAATAAAACTTAAAGAACACTAAGCAATATGGCTTAAAATTTCCTCTAATATTGCAAAATAAAGATAAAAAGGGCTTAAGCAATTTCTTTTATTTGATGTGGCTTTTTCTTGGAGAATATAAATTTGATAGCACATACCCAATTATATTATTATGGCCCATATTCATACACAGGACAGAAAATTATCATTTGTTTTCTAACCAAGTGACAACAGAATCAAAATATTAGAAAGAAAACAAATTTTTAACTTTTGCTGTCATAAATCCTTTATAACTCCCAAATCAGTGATGTCTGTTTACTATCGAGTTTTAAGGTGGTAAAAAAAAAAAAATCCAAGCAAATTATTGAAGTGTTCAATAATTTGAAATACTGCCATCCTATTCTAGACTTTTGGAAATCAACACTAGAAATGAATCAGGTAGCAAGGGATTCATATACTGTAAGCTTCCTTCTAAATCTGAACAAAATATGTGTTATACAGCACTAGAAAACTGTAACATAGTATTGATTTACTATGTTACTGATAGCACTGAAAAAACAACTTACCTAAGAAACAACAAAAAGTGCAGTCTCCAGATGTCCTCTGTTTTCTTTCTTTGTTCATTTTTGAGACACAGTATAGCTCAGTTACCCAGGCTCGAGTGCAGTGGTGCAATCTCCGCTCACTACAACCTCTGCCTCCCAGGTTCAAGCAATTGTACTGTCTCAGCCTCCTGAGTAGCTGGGATTACAGACCACCACTCTCGGCTATTTTTTTTTTTTTATTTCCTTTTTTTTTTTGTATTTTTAGTAGAGACAGGGTTTCACTATGTTGGCCAGGCTGGTCTCATACTCAAGTGATTTGCCTGCCTCGGCTTCCCAAAGTTCTGGGGCGTGAGCTACTGTGCCTGGCCTGTTGTGCTTTGGAGAAATCATTAGCCCTGGGTACAACCTTAAGGCACAGAATTGTATTGAAAGCCGTGAAGCCCATTCAGTTCATTTGACCTTTTAAAACTATTTGTGGAAATTTCTGCCCAGTGCAGTGGCTCACACCTATAATCCCAGCACTTTGGGGGATTGAAGCGGGCAGATCACTTGAAGTCAGGAGTTTGAGACCAGCCTGGCCAACATGGCAAAACCATGTCTCAACCAAAAAATACAAAATTTATCTGGGAATTGTGATGCACACCTGTGCTCTCAACTACTCGGGTGGTCCCAGCTATTCAGGAGGCTGAGGCAGGAGAATCACTTGAACCCAGGAGACAGAGGTTGCAGTGAGCTGACATCATACCCCTGACTCACTCTGGACAACAGAGTGAGACTCTGTCTCAAAAAAAAAAAAAAAAAAAAAAAAAGGCCAGGCACGGTGACTCACACCTGTAATCCAAGCACTTTGGGAGGCTGAGGCGGGTGGATCACTTGTAGTCAGGAGTTCAAGACCAGCCTGGCCAACATGGTGGAACTCCATGTCTACTAAAAAATACAAAAATCAGCTGGCCGTGGTGGCACATGCCTATAATTCCAGCTTCTCAGGAGGCTGAGGCAGGAGAATCGCTTGAACCCAGGAGGCAGGTGTTGCAGTGAGTCAAGATCTCACAACTGTACAACCTGGGTAACAGAGCGATACTCCATATAAAAAAAAAAAAAAGACGATTTGTGGAAATTTTAGTTTACTTTATTTATGTCAATGTGGAATGTAACTCTGTTATCTTTATTTTTAAAAATTGGTTAAATCAATGAATGTAACAGAAACTAGTAGAAAACATATTATTTTGAAACAAGGCAGCTCATTTATTTGAGCTTTCAATTCTTTTGGATATATACCCAGAAGTGAAATTTCTGGATCATATGACATCTCTGTGTTTTTGTTTTTGTTTTGAGGAACCTCCATACTGTTTTCTATAGCAGCTGCACCATTTTACAGTCCCACCAACAGTAGACAAAACTTCTAATTTCTCCACATCCTTGCCAATGCTTACTTTCTGTTTATTTTTATAGTAGCTATTCTAATCAATGTAAGGTGATTTTTTCCTTATTTTTAGCAGCTACGTAGTGTTTCATAGTATGAAAAATCCCCTATCAAGGAATATTTGTTTGAGCCTGATCTTTAGCTATTTCAAACAATACTGCAATGAACATCCACATATGAGTATCTTTATATACATGTTGAGTACCTTTTGGAAGATAATTGTGAGGACAAAGGATATGTACATTTTTGTAACTTTCTATTGTGAAATAATTTCAGACTTACAGAGAAGTTGCAGGAACACATGTCTTTCCCCAATTGTTAACAGTTTGTCAATTTGTTTTATTATATTCTCTATATATATATGCAGATTTTTTCTGAGTCATTTGGGAGTAAAGTTTAGCTATGATGTCCATTTAACTTTAAATACTTCCATATGTATTTCTTGGAACAAAATATTTCTCTTTCTGTCCTAGATGCATTTATGAAAAAAGAAAAACTTCTCTTACACGAGCACAGTGCAAATAGTAACATCAGGAAGTTAATATTGATAAAGTTCTATTATCTACCCTGCAGCCTTACTCACAATCCAGTTGTGCAGATAATGTTATCTGTAGCAACAAGAAATTTGGGGGAG